GGGAGTATCTAATTGGAGCGGGTCGCGGGTAAAAGGAGCGGGTCGCGGGTAAAAGGAGCGGGTAATTAAAAAAGGAGCGGGTAAAAGGAGCGGGTAATTAAAAAAGGAGCGGGTAATTAAAAAAGGAGCGGGTAATTAAAAAAAAGAGCGGGTAATTTCCCAGGTGCTAAGCGCCGGTGGGGAATTTTAAAGAAAAAAAAGACATTTTTTATGAAAGTGTAACAACATGAGGACCATTTTTACTAAGTGAAACCATTGACTTCACATAAAAAATCTCGAAAATTCTATCAAATGTTAAATTGACAGATATTTAACAGCCTGAACATGTCTTATTATGACGTGCTGAAAATACGTACACACCAGCGCAACGTTTTTGGGTCACCAAATGGACAAAAATTATTATATCATGTACAAGTGCTACTCAAAACCCTACAGTCTGTCTCGGCTATTGCCTCACCAAACTGTGGAAAACTATGAACATATTGAACGCGGTTTGCACGGTTAGGGTTTACGTTTGCAGAACACCATTGAATTTTTTCAGTGAACTGATAGTGGTGTAGCATATATACACATTTTTAGACTACACGTACAATAGAGCAAAAGTTTCCAAACACAGGGTGTTTTAATAAGGCGCTCACGTTCAGTTTAAACCAGTGAACTCTAAAGCCCCGTTTACACTCAGTCAATTTTTGGTACGGCACGGATAAAATCGGTACCCGCGTATTGGTACGGTGGCTCTTTTAAGAACCAAAAAAGTGATACGGTACCAAAAATTGAGCGTAGTGTAAATGGGGCTTAAGGGAACTGGAAAGATAACTTAGCCGCCATCTTTGAAGCCACTCATGATGGCCGCCATGTATGTAAGGCATGTACGTATACTGAAAAACCGGATGGCTAAAAACTTGAAATTCGGATAAATTTATAGTAAAAAATGGTTTATAGTTTCCTTTGCTCCATAGAGTTAGTAATGCATTACCAGAGTTTGGTGAGGCAATAGCCGAGGCAGACTGTAGAGTTTTGAGTAGCAATTGTACATGTTATAATACTTTTTGTCCATTTGGTGACCCAAAAACGTTGCGCTAGTGTGTACGTATTTTCAGCACGTCATAATAAGACATGTTAGGCTGTTAAATATCTGTCAATTTAACATTTGATAGAATTTTCGAGATTTTTTATGTGAAGTCAATGGTTTCACTTAGTAAAAATGATCCTCATGTTGTTACACTTTCATAAAAAATGTCTTTCTTTTCTTTAAAATTCCCCACCGGCGCTTAGCACCTGGGAAATTACCCGCTCTTTTTTTAATTACCCGCTCCTTTTACCCGCTCCTTTTTTAATTACCCGCTCCTTTTACCCGCTCCTTTTTCAATTACCCGCTCCTTTTACCCGCGACCCGCTACCCGCTCCAATTAGATACTCCCCATACTATTAAGGAGTATGCCCTCTTGTTAACCAATTGCACCCCTTGCCCTCAGCAACTTCCGGCATCCCTGACAGTACGTATGTTTATGATTTTTTTACGATATTTCCCGAATATTCTGAAAAATCGCGAGAATTTGATAAAAATCGGGAGACCAGGAGATTGTATGAATTTTCGGGAGACTCCCGGTAAAATCGGGAGAGTTGGAATGTCTGCCTAAGCATTCTTGATTTCTTGGTAGGGGTATGAAATGTTAATATTGGTGTACAGGGTAAAAATAGATTATTTCATTCCTTCAGCATTAACTAGTCTAAGGATAAACTTTGTGCCAGTGAGGTATACGGATAGATAGGAAATACAACTACCTGAACAGTACAAGCAGGACCGACGTGAAAAATACAAGCGGAACTTCGACGCCACGGGTTTTTTCGACAAAAGTAAATCTCTGGCCTTGGAATTTGCACTTTTCTGACTATCCTTGTTTATACATCATAATGGCGCAATATTTTTCCGTAAACATTGCCGGCACATGATCGAGTGTTCCCGACCTGAAGGGCTTTCGTTCGAAACGTCCAAGTAAGTTCTGCTTCTATTTTCAAGTATTCGTATCCCTCCTGATTAAGGCACAGCTTTCTAAATATAAATTGCATTTTGGACCAAATCAGTTCAGATAACGACTGAAACACGCTCTCTCCGCCCGCGAACTCCCACATCATCTACTTCAGCTGAGATAATCTAGATAATTACGTCAATGAGCAAAAAGAAAATATGCAGGGTCGGTCCTTAGAAATTTAGACCGATATTCTATCAAATTTCCACCATTTTGGAAGTACTACGTTCAAAACTCAATACGGTAAATGGTCTTCAATTTCAATAGACCGTTTACTTGACCGTGACTGGATAATATGCTTATCTAAAATGCGGGATTACAGTGTAGACAGTATCCTACTATAATCTCCCGTGGTTTGTGTCTGAACTCACTGAAAATGAAAGCGCGTACCTATTTTTATAACTTTCAGATACCGAAGACACTTTAGTTATCTTACACCAAGTGTTAGCTTAATCTTCAAAATCAAAAATTCTGAAATCATATTTTCATGGCCGAAAAGCGTGGCAAAAATAGATTTTAATTTTTTTAGTTTTCTCTGCTGAATAAACTTATTTCTGCAGGAGAACCGGCCATTTTTCCACAGAATTGAAGTATTATCTTTCCTTTACATGGAGACAAAAACAAGCCAGCGAAAACACGGCGAACCGGAGTTAAATTCACTCGTGAGTGACACGAATTATTCGACTTATACAGTGAAAGATTTAAGAACAGAGTTGAAAAGGCGAAATCTCTCCATTAAAGGATTAAAAGCTGAATTGGTAAGCGATATTTGGGTGTGTAGCATTGTCTAATAAAGTTTTCGTAACGATCTTGTTCTTAAATATACTTAGTTAAATATTTATGTGTTTGGTAGTTATTGCACAACCTTATACAAACCAGTAAACAACTGGTTGAGGTGTAAATATAAACAACTGATGGATCATGTTCATGTTGATACATGTTGCATTAATTTAACATATTGCGTTAGAACACATGAAGCGTGCCATATTTATTAACAGTTTTGACGATCTTTGGTTGCGGTAACATTTTACGTTGGAAATTATTGTTAAAAAATCGACATGAATGATGTCACCTTTACTTGGTCGACTGATATTAGGCGTAAAAAAAAAAACAAACCTGTGGTTCCGGTTTCATATCGCAAAAAAATTAGGGTCGGTAGGTCGGAAATAATTTTTTTTTTGAAGATTTTTTTTTATGGTTTTTTCAATAATTAGTGTGACAACAGATGCCATTTTGGCAGCAGCCTGCAACCACCCAGAGAAAATAGGGTCGCACGGTCGATGGCGTTGAAAAAATAATAGGGTTGGCAGAAAAAAATAGGGTCGGTCAGGAACCGGAACCTGCACCTTATGATGTTATTATAACATTGGTATCGGTATCGGGTAGATTGTGGCATGAATAATTGCAATTTCCAATTGTTGCACAATCGGTCAATCACTACCATTGACAAGTTAAATTGTCTAGTGTTAGACACAACTACCACCACTTTGGTGGTGCAGTCGTCGGAGCAAGAGCCTACTTCCTCTGAATTTGTGGGTTTGATTCTGACTACGGACTCATGTGACAAGACTTCCAAAGAGTCAGTCAACATTCTGCCAAAAGTCGCGGGTTTTCTCCGGGTGCTTCGGTTCCTCTCACAGGGAAAGTTGGCAGGGTGGGCGTTGTAAAGATAAAATAGTCTATAGGCTAACCATGTAATTAGGTAAGCGTAATACTTGATGTAAAGCGATGAACAATGAAGATATTTCATAAATATCAGAATTCTACATACCATTATAAATTATTTTGTATCTCAAAGGTTGAAAGGCTACAACATTCGGACCAAAGTGGTGATGTGAATATCAATGCATCAATACTAAATGGTGGCAAAACCTTGATTGATGACCACAATCATCATCATTGTCGTTTGAGCGAAAAGGAGCGAAAAATGGAAAGAGATAATCGTCAAAACATCGTATTATGGAGAAGACCATTGACCACGCTACAATACTTCATGTTAGAGTTGATTATTACAATACAGGAATATTGGAGAAGGTTTGTATATCAACCTTTTAATTAAGTGAGTAAACCAGGCTATTTCAGTGCTTTTTCACATGTGAAGATTGGAACCTAAGTAATTTGTGGCAGGGTGAATAAATTGCTAGGCTGCATCATAGACTCTAGCACAAGTGAACATTGGCGAAACTTGAGGGGGTATTGGGGGTGTGACACCCCCCCCCCAAAAAAAAAATACGAATTATCTGGATTGGCAGGGCAATCGAAGATTTTAAATGATAGAATGTAGAGTTATTAAGTAACTTACAGGGCTTTCAGAGGGAATTGAATAGAATTTATAGACCTAAATTTTACAGATATTGGTCCAAAAGTAAGGGGTTCACCCATGTTTTTAACAGGAATTTGTATGGAAAATTTTTTTTACCCTTTTGTTTAAATATTCGGAAAAATCCCCCCTGGCCAATAATTTGGGAAAAATTGCAGGGTGTCATCGGTTTTGGCAGGGCAATTCTGGCAAACACCCCCCAAATTAAAAGGGGCTAGGTTTGCCCCTGCAAGAGAATCAAGAGCTCTAGTTGGGAAATGGCATTTGGAAAGGTTGAACTCAAGGAGGTTGAGCTGTATCCTTTGTAATTCAGAGTAGCTCTCACCTGCAAACAAGGATGATTACCAGACCCTCACTTACTCGCTAAGGTATTCCTCCTTTTTTCTCTTTCAGAGTTTTAAAACATCGCAAATCTTGTACTCTATTTGTTACTACAGTAACAGTTCTCTCATTGTTGTATTTCATTCCTGGACAACATCAGAAGGTAACTTCCATGCTCTCTAGTGAGTTTACCCCCATCACATCTTGACACAGGGTAGAAGTGTGAAGGGGGTGGGATGCAGTCAGTGGCATAACAGAGGAAGAGGGGACCTTAGGCATATTTGGTGTGGGGTGGGGCCTGTTGACTGTTGTCATTTTTTGACCGAGATATTATATTAAATTTATATTGAATATTTATAGAATGTTCTGGAAAATTCTGTGTTTATAACAATAACAGTCTCCAGCACATGTAACAACTAATAAGAATAACTTTTGTTTTATTTGTAAATGGAATGAAAAAATTGGCTACTGTTGTCGATGGAGGCTTTATTATTTAACATTATTAATTTTCCATTGATTCTTGTCCCGCATTTTTTTACGTTTTCTAATTTTCTGGTTGATAGGCCGTGGCAGATGTGGCCCCTAACTAACTAACTGTCAGGGGTATAAATGACATAAGAAACATTAAGGGGTATATATGTCATGTTTATATATAGGCTGGGGTATTTGTGTCATGTTTCTTGCGGTCACAAAATTTTCAATGTTTCGGGTGCCCCTAACTGTCGCGGACTCTTAGTTTTTGAACTAACCCTTCCCAATGAGCGTTACGGGTGACACCCATCCAGGCTTTGTAAACATCATATTTTAGGGCAAATCAATATGATTTTGTTGGGCAAATTGTAGTCAATGAATGATGTGTTTTTTCCAGCATGTTCAAGAAGTGGAGGACTTCATAATGTGGTGTTGTTATTGGATAGGGTTGGGTATATTGTCTTCAGTTGGTCTAGGAACTGGTCTGCATACGTTTCTATTATATTTGGTAGGTCGAGTACTTTTGTGATAACATGCACCTAATGTTGTATATACTTCTAGAGATTTAGAAAAGTCTCATCCCTCATAATAAGCCATCCTTCTGACAGATGATGTGTAATGAAAAACAAAACAACTCAAGGGTTGGGTAATAAAAATTTATTGTCATTTCCAAAGCATGACTCAGACTCAAAATGACTAAAAAGCAAAGAAAGTACATGTGCATACTACATGAATTAGACTGCAGAAAATTGCACAAGCAGTTTTCAAACTCATGTCACAGAAGTGGTAAAGGACATATGTGACAACTGAATGGTATCCTTTTGTAAACTTTTTGGCCGGGGGTGGGTACTTATTTTTTATTGATATTTGAGTTGGGTAAAAAAGCTTTTTGACATTTTAATGGTTGCATCTCAGCAAAATTTTTACCAAGAAAAACATTTCTCTTCAGTGGCACCCCCACCGTAAATACTGACCAGTCCATTAGGTGAGATAAAAACATTCACATGAAATAACTCATCGCATTCAAGTGGGCTTCTCTGCAAACTGGGCTATTAAATATGAACAGGCCTTTAGTTTTTACACAATATGATGCATGATATGCTTAGATTCATGTACGCTTACGTACCTATCTTTTCTTCAGGGTCCCCACATAGCACAGGTGACTTTAGCAGCGTGGGAGTGTCAATCGCTGGATTTTCCAGAACCACCTTATCCTAACGAGTAAGATTGAACTTTGTTCTAAAATTACATAGTTGGGTAATAGCATGGTTTATAGTTCTATTTGGATATACATAATATGTACGAGTGAGTTTTTCAAAGACCTCAAAATAGCACGAGCCCAAAGGACGAGTGCTATTTGAGGTCCTTGAAAAATTCACGAGTGCATGTTTATCCAAATTTCACGAGATTGATTGGACTATAAGAAAAATCTCAAATTATATAATAACGTTAAGAATTCAAGCACTTTCATTAGCAAAAAGGAAGCCAATCAAATATTCTGAGCAACTGGATTGCTTCAGTTGCTCAAACTATTTGATTGGCTTCCTTTTTGCTAATGAAAATGCTTGAATTCTTAACGTTATTAATATATAATTTGAGATTTTTAGTCGTACCTGACTGGTACTCGAATGATCATTACCTCGTACTTGAACAGTAACCTGAAACTACAAGTTAGAACGAGAAGGACGACAATTGCAATATAACATACACGAACACTAGAATTGGCTCCGGCATTAGTAAAGGCTAATTTCCACTCAGGAAAATTATCCGTGGATTGGAACGGACAAGAAAATTTTTCTTTGTTTTGTGAGCTCTGGGTTGGAACTAATGACTTTAACACAAAGAAAAATTTTCTTGTCCGTTCCAATCCACGGATAATTTTCCTGAGTGGAAATTAGCCTTTAGTCCCATCAGTCCAGTCACGGTCTCGTATCAAGACATGTCAGACGTACCTACTATACGGCTACGTATACGGTTTTCAATACTTTGAGCTTGGTAAGGTCTTACCAGCAAAATCCACTACGCAGATAGCGAGAGTACCGCGTACCTACGTGGTACTTGGTTGAAAACAAAAAAGTACCAGCCTGCAATATTGGCGTACATCCGGGGGGTAAGTATACGCGATTTATCACACTCTGGATTCCCACCGCTGTCAAGCAAACTTTTCAGTTTGCCCGGTATGGACACACTCAGATACAAGATCACAATCATATATCTTCACTTGAGTGCATAACACCACAAACACAAAAACATTTTTAGACTATTGATTTTGAATAAGTTGTCGCATTTCAAAAGGCAAAATCCGTGCCATTTTCAAAGATTTTTCCAGTTGTAGGTCCTTGAATTTACTGAATAAAGTCCTCGAAAGTCCCGGAAATGTCCTTAATTTCATCTTCACTGACGAGTGAATACTTCTGTTTATCAGAAATGTACATCGTGTACTGTAATTTATCTTTTATTCAACCAGTTTAATGAAAACTGCATATTTATAGGATTTTTTGTCCAGAGGATGGGCATACTTCACATGTCAGCTTATTGGCTATAATGAGTAAAGTACGGCTTGAAGCTTTTATGTGGGTGAGTGGCATGCTGTGGCCAGATGAACTTGTTAATCCTGTAATGCCCCTTTTAGTCAACTCAGACCTTAAATATCGGTCGGTCACCGACATTGTCCGACCCATTCGTGAAACTCTCTGACCCATTCGCGAAACTCTCCGACCCATTCGCGAAATTCTCCGACCCATTCGTGAAATTCTCCGACGTAGAGAGGAAACCACTGGACATTCTGTCCGACCTACACGGGTAAAAATTGATCAGGTAGTTCGGCGTTGTTCAAACAGGAGTGAACAATGTTGTGCTGCACCCCGTGAACAATATTGTTAACAAGTTGTTCAACCATCAGTACTGTTGCAAGTTGTTAACATGATTGTCAACAAGTTGCAACAATGTTGATGGTTCAACAACTTGTTAACAATATTGTTCACGGGGTGCAGCACAACATTGTTCGCTCCTGTTTTGAACAACTTGCATCAACATGATGATTTTTACGCGTGTAAGTGAAACTGAGGTTTATTGTTTGTCCTACCCAAGTGTATTGGTGTCCGACCTAACTGTAACTTTGTTCAACGTAAAGCAAGATGTACCCCAGTAAATGTGTGATCAAATGCGGGATTTTCACCGTGGGGTTTGGAAATTCATTCCCCAGATTCAAATTGTGCTTTTCCAAATTGTGCTGATATTAATTTGTGTCGTTCATAATCGAACTCGAAGCCACTGAACTCAATGTCATCGGACATCCCAATACATATGTCCAACCCGAACTCAAAGTCATCAAACATTTTGTCAGACGGTTCTCTGAACGATATTTTAAGGCCTAGTCAACTTATGTATGCAACGTGTTTTCAAATTTAGTTATATGTTTTTAGGGAGCTGGAACTGCAATTGGAGAACTGCCACCTTATTTCATGGCAAGAGCAGGTATGTGTGTGACATGATTGTAGCAAGGGATATGATTATCTGGCCATTGGGGCAAGTTAGGCATAAAAATTGCTTGCTAAAGTAAATTTACTTCAGCCTTTAGAATATGGAATCGGTAGAGGAGAAATAAATTACTTGCAAAAACTTTATTTTGCAGCGAACTTAGTTATCGTTATTGACAGGGACGGATCTAGCCTCACAGGGCTGCAAATTACTGTCGGACATCGGACAATGTCCGACTAAATTTGGCAAATGTCCGAGCAAAAGTAATTTTGATCGGACATTGGTCAGATCACAAAAAAAAATTGTCACATACATTTTTTTGCTGTGACAAAATCCGATTGCAAATGGAGGCATTCTATAGCATTTTACTTAACGTTGCGCCGGAATGGCAAAACATACTTGTCTCGTGACTTATATATATCTTGTGACGTATATATGTCCGACCAAAATTTAGTGGTGTTGGTTTTTGTCCAACCAAATTCAAGTTATGTCCGACCAAAATTAAAAGTGATCGGACAAATGTCCTGTCAAGTCAAATATTTATTTGCAGCCCTGTCTCATCTGCAAGGAGGGGTGCAGGTTTTCCATGGGGTGGTGCATGAGAGAACCTTACTGCCCACTCTCCTCTGCAGTCTGCAACGCTACTAATCCAACATTACCGAATCTGCATGTTCACCGTTCTGTTACGTTTTACATTATCTTTTGTTTATAAAGTTTATATAGGCTTTTTATCACGTCAGGGTCTTAGCTAGAGGGCCGTGTTGGCCGTGTTATCGCGGCCAAAAATGGAAAAACACGGCTAGATAAAATGAACGCGGCTTCATTATTTATATAAGGCCGTGTAGGTTCATAAAATAAGATGGTGCTACTTACAACAGACAGAATTTCTTTCTATTTACGTCATAAGAAAGTTTGTAAAATCTATTGTTGTTGTTGAAATTGGCAAAAGTGATCCGTGATGTTTTAATGTTTTGACGGATAATGGGAACCGAAAGGTTTTAAATACCCCCCAAGAGTTGTTGAAGTAACTTAATATCATAATGGCAGTGCGCAATATGTGTATATGCTCGCCTTGTATTTGGTTGCAAAGCATAGAACAACCACAGGCATTGTCCGTTGTTGTAGAACCGTGAATTTGGCTATTCAAGGTAATTGACATGTGCACACCCTGGTCATTTAGAAACACGCCCAAGATCTAAAGTCCTAGCTAAGACCCTGTATCACGTATGCGTGACTGGACAGTTGCTGTAGCACAGTACAGTGAATTTGCTTGTTAAAGTACAGTATAT